CCATTGAATGAGTTAATATTATTGCTTCAAAGAATAAATCACTCAAAATTATTGTCGTAGCCGTGACATTTCAACAATACGCACTGTAAATGAATAAATGTGTCAATAAATGCAAGACCCCCGACGCCCAAAAACATGTCCGTGGTCATTTTCATGTGGAGACGCGTTCAGGGGCCAAGATTAAAATAAAAAAAAAAAACCAAAACAACAACACAGCACTCACCACAGCTCCACTTGAGGGAACCGCGGCCGTTTGTATTCCAGCAAGTATTAATTACGGTGACGACTTTTGCAAATGATTTCTCCTCACTAGTCTACGCATTATTGAACATACGGCGCCCGCCGGACCCGACGACAATCTACGGAGGTGGCGCTCTCCGGTCCGGGATGTCAAAAGTGCGGCGAGAACTTTGAACGGTAACGCCGTGTCGATGATAGTTATCCGGGAGCCAAAGACAAAAGTGCAGTTCGAACGCAAAAGGCACGCCTCGTCTTGACTCTTCCAATTTTGTGCCGCCGATCTGAATCGAAGCCACGACGATGCCTTATGCTGGGGGGGGGTGCGCCACTTAATTCCCCAAAAGCGTTCACGTTTTTTTCACTTTGTTTCAGTTCAGCTTCGCGTTAGTCGAGCGCCCACAAGTATCACGTCGCCTATCGTTGAACGCATCCGACGAGGGATTGATAACTTACCGGTCACAAACACGGGAAAACGGGCCGCAATGTTCTGGACCTGCGAGTGCACCAGACAAGCCAGATAGTCGGGATGATCCCTGGACTTGGCGTCGCATTCGTGGTAGGGCAAAACTGCGCACAGGCCCGTCTCTTGAGACCGGCTCAGCAAGTCCTTCTTCTCTTCCGCTTCGGCAGTGAACCTGGACGCCGGGGGGTAGGTTTGAGGTTTCAACCCATCAATGAGTCAAGTTCTTATTTGGACCGTCGTCGAGGACAACCACCTTGCGTTCTCCTTGAATCGCCGACTGTCTCTGTAGTGTAGCAACCACTTCCACTTTCCGGTTTTGTTCAGTTCTTGCAGGACTTCCAACAATCTTTTCACCTTGTCTAAAGAGACAGCATCAATCAGACAAGGGGGGGGGGGCGCATTCCATTGCAATGGTGGGGGACACGGAGGACCGACGTACCCAGGCTGAGGGCTTCGAGGGACGGCCCGTCAAACATCACAAAGCCGCCGCTGAGGAACAGTTCTTGATGGGTGAGATTCATGACATCGTGCGGTTCGTCAATGCCGGCAAAGCGCACCTCCGGCGACTTTTTCAGCTCCAGGAGATGCGGAACCTGAGACCGCAAGAGACCGAGATCCGCAGGGGACACAAGTAGTCAAGACTCTGCTCTTTGAAGAACAGGTACAGTCGAACCTCGTTTTCGCCGAGCCCGTTGTTTCCAGCGTTTCCACCTCGACAACGTTAGCGTTTCAAAGTCCCGATTTCACGTCATTTTTGGTTTCCATTTGCCGATTTGGCTTACAACGAACGTCAACTTGGTGAAAGCGACCGGATTGCTCCCACAAAATAGTGTCAAGGCCTTTGTGACGACGAAGCGAACCGCCACCCCGACCTCGCTTGTGAGGAAAACGTACGGCGAGGGATTCCCTTCCGTTGCGACCGATCGACTCGGTGCGCTGCCGTACTTCCGGGGGCACGCGATCTGAAAACACGTCCGGTAAACGCAAGCAAATCTCGCCGTCCGCCAAGGCCGCAATTGTCTCCCGCTTTCCAAAAGGGAGCGAGCTCAGCCGAGACTACCGACCGGCACGCTCGTCCGCAACGGCGACAAAATCACGGCGGGGTTCAAGGCCAACGGATTGGAAGATGAGCGTCGAGGGGCTTCGGGGGCGTGGCCCATCCTGAACCGGAGAGGCCACTTTTCATTCGCTGGGCCAATGTTTTCAGAGACAAAGTGGGAACGCGACAGTTTTTCGTCATATTCGCAATGGACGTGTTTCTACCGTATGACACGTTCGTGTTTCAAGAATCTCGAAAAGTTCCTACTGCATTATGCGCGGTCGTCGGCGGCCATTCGATCGGGAATTGCTGCCGTTCTAACGTACAGAATCGTTCCGTCCCTCGAGGTACGTCGCGACCGGGTTCGAATGCGGTTCCGTCATTGACCGGCGTACCTCAGGGAGGTGCGCCGAGATGTCTTCATTCCTGATGACGATGAGCAAAGACGAAGACTCTCCGCCGAGGAAGAACTGGCTCGGCTGTACCGCCGTGTGACCCGCCGCTTCTAGACAAGCCTTTGGAGAGTTGAAAAGAAACTTGCGGAGCTGCTTGCAGGGTTCATTTTGCAAAGGACTGGAAATTCTTTGCGATTGTTTCGTACCTTTGTTTCCGCAAAGAAGGCATCTTCCGACGTCACCAAGATGTAGAACCTGTATTTTCTTTCCCGTGATCTTGTCCCGGAAGTCGGTGCGTCCCGGCGATCCTCATCCGCTCTACGTTGGATCGGCAATGTAACGACAGAGCGATCCGAAGGATCGGCCGGTGGCCCGCGTGGGGTTGACGCGGCCCGGGTCGGCTTTGCACGCTCGTCCTTCGCCTCGCTCGGGTTTGAGGGCTGACCGAGAGTCGCGTTGGTCGTCTCGATGGGACTATTTGTCTGGCTTGACTTTGTGTCAAGCCACCGTCGAACACGACTCGGGTCAGAACCCTCTGAAGAGATGTCATTCTGGCAGCCAGAACACGCTACTACCTCGGGTCGATCGTCCGAGGGGACGGGGGAGGACCCGGAGTCACGCCGGCCTTCTGCAACGAGCGGCCGGCTGGTTTCGCCCGCCTTGAGCACGCAAACTCTGCGCGGTGAACATTCCGGGACGCTTTTGAGAGAACCGGTTCCGAGGAGACACCCCACTTCTGTCCGGTTCCGGACAGGCTGTTCGACCGCACTGCGGGGGCCGGCGGGTGGAGCGGGAAAGTTGGCCGCACAGGGCATGTCCTTCGGCTTGACCGATTCCACGTCAGATTCCGAACGATTGAAAGTTTCAAAGTGACTTCCGCGGCCCCGTCGCCGGTTCTCGTCGCGGCCTTCCGCTGAGCCGGCGCCGCGAGTATCTCCTGCCGCGTCGGGCCGGCTGGTTTCACCTTCAGCTTGAAACGCCGATCGTCCGCACGGGCTGTCGGGAGAAGAAGTTGCGGAAAGGACAAGCTCCGCTGGGTGACTCCGGGCGCCTGTGGGGGAAACGCCCCTCGGGTGAATCGTCGCCCCACAGTGGATTCCTTCCACCTCCTCATCTTGTCCTTCCTCAAGCAACCCCATCTCAGTTGCAAGTTTGACAGTTTCACGCCGGATTAACTGCTTCTGCTGCTGGCTTTGGACGATGGCGGCGGAAGGCTTTTCGTGCGCTCCGCCGGATCCGGTCCCACCGGTGGCGCCGACAACGTGGCCGCTTTGGCCCGCCTTCAGCACTGTTCTTCTGGACGTTGACAGTTCTCGGATGCTTTCGGGGGAAGCGTTTCTGGCGTGGTCGCGAAGAACCTCTTCAAGCCGACTTGCGGCTTTCGTACTCTCTCCGGAAAAAAAGGAAAATGGAGCCGTCACCCCACAGTGGCTCTCTCGAACCTTCTTTTGTTCCTCTTGGGCCAACTCCAAGTCGGATCCCGAAGGTTTTACCGTTTGATGCTGAACGAAGCCGGGTCGTCGATGTATCGGAGCGATGGGAGCCGCCTTCTCGTCTCCGCTAAGAGGGAGCGTACCCGTCGCTGCGCACGGGCTTTCTTTCCCAGGCGGGCGAAAGGCCGCCATCTCCAAGTTGACCAGCGAGATGTTTTCGGACGCCGAGCAGCCCTGCGAAGTGGCGTGAGCCGCCGTCGCGTTGCTTCGGCACACCGCCGCCGTCGCCTGTGATGCGACGTGAGTCGGGGCGAGCTGATTGTGGAAGCATTGTCGACGAGGTTCCGTGGCGTGACCTCTCTCTGAATGTTCACAGTCGAGGACAAGAGCGAGAGGCCGATCCCGCAAATCCCGCCCGGCTCCTGCGGGTGAAATGCGGACGACGGGCTTCTCATCGGAGCCTTTCACAAAGTGACCGTTGCTTCGATGACAAGAAATCGGCGTCAGTTGAGGGTTCCCAATCTGCTGCGCTTCAGGGCGTTCCCTCGCCGAGACGCTTGTGTCGCGGCACGCGGGGGATTCTTTGAGATCGGTTCGGAGAGACCTGCCACCCGTTTCTTTGCGAGGCTCTTCTTCTGCCAAAGGCGAGCCTCTTTCATGTTTCCGCAGCCCTGTCAGCTCGGCGGCCTCGGCGGTTTGACAGCCGCCTTTTAAATCCGCCTCTCCCGCGTCGGATTTAGGTTGCGCACAGTCCGCCGCCGCGACACCGCCGCCACTCTGCGGCTCATCCAAGACCGTCGCCGTCTCTCCTTGGATGCGACTTTCATTCTCTTTCTGAGAAGGCGCAACGGCGCGCGGTGCGCAGCGCGCTTGATCCGCTATGTCCGCCGAGAGAATCGTCGCTCGGTTTCCCTGGAAGGAGGAAAACATTTTGCTGAGGGTGAGGCAAGTCCTTGAAGGGAAAACTCAACAGAGTTACTTTGTGATATGAAGGTGACAACATCGGGACCAACCTGAAATGTTCGTTGCTCTTTGAGTTCCGTCGGCGAGCTGGCCGAGTCAGACGCTTTCGCACCGTGGACTTGAGGATCCGAAGGGGGAACCTCAAATCCATCCGAGGCCCCGGGAGGGGAGTTCAGGACGTCAGAGTCTCGATCCAAAGAGGAGGTCCGGCTCAGGTCTGAAGTGTTGGAAAGGGAACGCTCGCTTTGCTCTTCGAAGCCTTCCGCCTGGAGCCACGCCGGAGCCTTTGTCGCCACGGCCGCCTCTGGATGAATACCGTCGGTCGAGCGACCGTCGGCCGAGCGCGGGTTCGTATCCCGGTCCGAGCCCAAGTCGATGAACCTCGGTGTCGAACGGCTGTAGAAAAACCCGATCCACATGTGGACAATGAGCTGCATGTCTTCCCTGGTGTCTTGAAGAGAGAAATCCCAGGGGCTGTCAAACGAGACAAACGAGACTGAAATCGACCCGTTGAGGTGTCACTGAGCACTCGACCGCTTTGGCGCCTACCCGTGCAAGGCCCGGACGATGGTCCGGTCCTTCGGATCACTGGAAAACCTGCTGTCTCGACCAAAGTCGTACTTTTCTTTCCATTGGCGCGTCACTCGGACCGAACCGTCTCTGCACACGAAGCTGCGGTCGCGGTTCAACGCAGTCGTCCGTGGCCTCCCGCGGCCCGAAGGCCGACGATCCTCGTTTTCCGCCAGCTCCTCCGAATCGTCGGCGGCCCGTGGCATTTCGACACCAGGCGGCGCGCGCGGCCTCTGAAGCAAGCCGGTCGAGCCGCTTAGAGGGGAGACCTGGAACGGCGCGCCCGGTAAACCGGGCAGCAGAGAGGCACGCGGGGGTAACGAGTACGCGTGCTCCTGAAACAACAACCGAGCCCATTCGGCGCCTTCCGCGGGAGGGCTTGCCGATCGCGCGGGTCCAGGCTGTCCTCGCGGAGTCAGAAGAACCGACGCTTGACCGGCACCGGCCGCATTTTGGGGAAGTCCGTTCTTTCTCAAATCTGACCGGGGCGGCCTCGCGACGTCTCGGTCCGATTGTGACGGGACCTGATGGCGGTCAGCCCCGAGGGCCAGATCCGCAAGTAAATTCAAAGCATCGGTCGATGCGTTTGAGGTTGGGCTTTTCTTCCTGAGAGAATCGTCCCGAAGACGCTCTTTGACGGCGTCGTCGGCGCCAGACGGCCGTTGAAAGTGCATCCACCCTGTCGAGACAAAGCGGGACGGACAACGCACGGCAAGTGAAAATCACAGACAGACGGGCGGCGGCGGCGGATCGGATCAAGGTGCCGCGTCGTTGACAAACAGCAAAGACAACAGTCTTACAGGACAACAGGACTTACATGTCTTCTTAAAGTGTTCCCGCGAGATGTCCAGATGTTTCCTGAGCGTTTTCACTCTCTTCCACTTTGGGTAAATGGAGGGAGGCCTGCAGAGGATTTCAGCTTTCTCGCCTTGCGCCTCCAACTGGGCTTCCCCGACGCGGGTGCCTTCCGGCCCCCTTTGCTCGAACCAATCCGGCATTCCTCGGGGCTCGACGCACGGCCCGGTCGAGTCCCCCCCGAGTTCCGCGGCGGCGTCGTCGGGAGCGCTCGCGAGGTCGGCGCTTTTCTTCAAACGCGTCTCAGCAGTGAGATTTGGGGGCTTTTCATCTACGCCGAGCTGACGCGTTGTCGCCTTCCTCCCGGCGCGCTCATCGGCGGCTTCTGACCCAACGGGATCCCGCAAGTCTCGAACCGCGCCTCGGTGCGGACTCGCCGTCCGGGAGCCGACGGCGGTCCCGCGGGTCGCCGGCTCGGGCGCTCCGGCTGCCTCGGG